CGCGGCGTCACGGCCTCCGCGGCGTGGGCCCAAGCGCGGTCGTGGGGCGGCGCGTGGAGGAGGCCGCCGACCCGAAGGCCCTCGGCTCCGCCCTGCGCTGCCCCGCTCTGTGGAACGGCGCCCTAAGCGAAGCGTAACGCCTGGGGAAGAGCGTCGCCGCAGGGGAGGCGCGGAATCGGATTCCGCAGCCGCGGGAGGATCCTGCGGGTGCCTAGTGGGGTGGAATCGCCCTTGCCTGGGCTGAGACCACGGGCGCCAGGGCCACGGCGTGTGTACCGAACCAGCACCGCCTGCCACGTCCCGCTGGAGAGTGGGGGAGTCGGTGGGCAGCATTGCCCGAGCCTGCGCGTAGATACATGCAGGAACTTTCGTGAGGGTCGTGGTGCCGAGTTGGAGGTGCGTTTCTCCGATGTGTGCTCGCGAAGAAATTTCCCTCTGTGGGTAACAGTGTTAGTAGCACGATGGCCGGTTACGGGTATAAGCGTTGGGTGCGCAGAGCTGGTTTGTTGTTGTAGCTGTTCTGCCCATCTCCAGCCTAGATCTGACCGTGACGTTCAGTCTGGCGGAGCGTGCCTGGGGTTGTTTAGACCGTTCGTTCTCTAAGTAGGCACTAGAGACTTCACATGTGGCTACCAGGCAAATATTTAACTTTTGTAACCGCTGCGCCTGGAGGAGCTGTGGCCACTGCTAATTTTCTGCATGTGTGACCACGGCAAAAGTTGAAAGAGTGCATGAGTCCCTAAGCTCAAAGGTTTTAATTTGCAGAGAACTGATCCAATTTTATATCCCCATTCATGCATATAATTATATCTAGCTATTGTTCTTTTGTTTGGCTTTTTCTTTATATTGGTAAATACAAAGCTTGGCTTTGTGCTGATGCTTGGTCTGCGCTAACGTTCACTTTATAGTGGCAGGCGTGCATTGCTGACAGATTCAAATTATGCCTTAAGTATGCATACAAGTTGCATCTACCTAATTAGGGCAAATTAGAAATAAACTGATTTCGTGGTGTGAACAGAAGGTAGTTGCACTGATTCACTAGTTTCTAAGCTGGCTTGCTTAAACTGTTGAAGGACTAAAGCCTTGTCTACAACATCGTAATCCTCTGTAGCAGAACAGGCTAAGGCAAAAGAAAAAGAAGTGGCTTTACTCAGTACCTTCACACTGCATCTTGTCAGCTCTATTTTCAATATATTGATTTAATCTACTTAAGACTTTAGAGTAATTTCATCGCCATGTATTATCACAGGCCTGTTGAAAAGCATTGTTCTGAAATGTTTTTGATTTTTGTCTGTTGTTTTAATAACATTCGTTGAAGTACTTAAGTTTCATTCATTTTAATTGACAAATATCTGGTGATAGCATTGACTCTTAAGTACTAACAACAAGAAATAAGTAAGTTACCTAAAAGAAACTTTGATGTTTGCTAACTGCTGTATGTAGTGATAGAATGTTGTTTACCAGAAGAGTGCTTAGTTCTCAACTTTGAAGGTTTTAAAAATGATTTTTAAAAATCTGCAGTTCATGTTGCATTGTCAGTATCAAACCAAACTCCATAGTGAGTGGCTAGCTTAGGCTATAATTCAGTTCATTGCCATTTTATGTTTTCTTAAGTGGTTGATTTTTGCAGTTAAAAAGATAAATTGCTACTGTATTATTTTTTCTGTCTGTTCCAGGTACTATTCTTCCGAAGTTCAACATTGACTTTGTTGTAGCTCTGCTGAGGCAAGAAAATGCTAAAGACATCTGTGTCATCCAGCTACCTCTAGAAATAAAATACTGTAATTATTTTATAATTGTGAGCGGATCTTCAACACGACATCTCCATGCAATGGCACATTACATGCTGAAAATGGTAAGACAGTTCCCACTGCACTCTCTGGGTTTTGGGGAATGGTTTTAAATGTTGTGAAAGGAATTTCCCCAGGATTGTACCTATAGGGGTGTACCAGGCAAGATGAAACTGATTATCCTTATGTCGTTTAGTCCTGAATACATCTAGCAACTAACTGTACTTTTTTCCTTTAGCAGTACTACTCAAAATGTAGAGAATATATTTTAAAAGCAGACCTCTCTGTGTTTAGAACAGTGATGACATTAGCACAGTTTGGTGGCTAGAACAAGAGTGATGTGAAATGGTGATGACGACCTGTGTCCACTTTTGTCTTCCATACAGCAACCTTGATGGCTATTCCCACTCATTCCAAGTAGCTTAATCTGACTGTTCTCAAACCCTAATCCCTAAACTTACCAGGTTCTCGGGTATGTCGTAAGGCTGGAAAAAAGATGGCATGTTGTGAGGCACAGGATCCCCTCATGGGCTTACCGAAGCAAACTGCTAGTTAATAGTCACCATACTGTGCATGTACAGGAGGAAAGGAGAAGCAGCAGCAGCCGTCCTTGAACAGAAATCTTGCACCATTTGGCTTTGGTAGAATGTGAGCTTTTCCATACAAAAATAGAGGTCAGAATAAAAATACAGGTAGAGCTTAGGGATAAGGACCAGACTCAGGGAGGGAGGAACTTTATGGCCAGAAAAGAGCCAGCTGACTGTTACAAAGCACAGTGTGAGGAATATGACTAGCCCCCATCTCAATCAGCTGTCTGTACTTAACCTGTAGTTTGTCTTCGGCTCTTGGTTTTACTTTCTTCCTTGCAGTCCCATTGGTTTCAGCTGTGAGACTTAAGGTGGGGAGTAGAGAGGGGAAGATGGTATTGCTTTTTGGTGCCTTTCTGAGCAGGTGAGGGGAGTTTCTTGTGTTCTCTGCAGGAATTGATGCATCTTTGCAAACTAAAATTTTGCCTCAAGCTAGAAGTTGTATTATTGTGATTCGAATGTACTAAATTTAAGTGCTTAATATGTACTCTATTACTTGCATAACTTGCTAGTCTTAAATCAACAGCTCTCCATCTCCCCCGGACCAGGACAGATCAGTGAATACCACTCACCGTGCAAAAACATGCCTGTGCTACAACTGGCTGCTCCCTCTGGTGGCTGTAAGATTAGCTCTTTTGCAAGGGCAGAGCCTCTGGGGGGAGAGACGTGGTGTCCTCCTGGGCATCCTGAGAAACCGAGAAGCCTGGCCAAGTACTTGGGAGTGGCTGAGCTTGCCTGGCATTGAAAGTTTTCTAGGCAAAACTAAGCTAAAGCTTGAGATGTAAAGCAGAGCAGGTGCTTGGGAGCGCTGCTAGGCATCGGGCTGGCTTTAACGTTACAATACCTAAAACGTTATGGTAATGCATGATGTACACTAAAATGCAAAGGTGCTCATGTGTAGCATGAGGTCTTCCTGCTTTTCTTCCAGTAGCTTGTAAATGGCAAGGTCCCAACTACTGCTTAATGCCTTCCTGTCTGGTTTCGTGTTAGAGGAAGAAACTAATGCTTGGCTTCATTATAATCTGTTCACTATTACACAGCCTTTAAAGACAAGGCTGAAGGAAACTCGTAGTGGACATCAGCCTTTCCAACATCTGTTACATAGCTGATGGCAGTGCACGCTGGGCTCTTTAGTATTTTAAGTAGACTTTCAGAGAGTCTTTGACAATTACCTGCTTTTGAGGATATCTCACAAGCTATCTTAAAGAAAGGAAGGTAGAACTAGTTCTGAACTGCATTTTGGAAGTTCTCCATTCTGGTTTGCAAACCAGGGCCATTGCCCAGCAGCTAGCATTGTGTGGGAAGGACCAGGAAGAGTTAGGTTTGTGATAATTGTTTTCCCAGTGAACTGGGACTCATTTGCTAGCCAGCCATGCTGTTACAACGTGTTACTTAGTATTTTCTCTTTCATGGCAGAAAGGACTGTAAACAGTTTTACTCTGTTTCCTTGTGGCCTTGTGCTGAAATAAATGTTGTTTAGTTTGTTTTTTAATTTCAGCTTGAAAAAGGTCTCTGTATTTTTTTGATTGACTGCTTCAACTAGATATAAAGTAGAAATTTGAATAAAGGAGCTCTGTGAAGGTGCGGTTGACTTGACTTAATTCAATTTTTTTTTCTATTGATGCTTCTTGTAAAGAAACTAGTAGGTTATGACCAGATCCGAAAGTGGAAAGTACTTAAACCTGTAGTTGTCAGTTTCTTCAGCTCTGGTGGGTGCTTAGGTTCTTTATGTACTAGGCAGGTAGAGCTGAGCCTCTCAAGCTGGCATCTGTGAAAGCCACCATGTTGCGTGGGGAACTAACTACCTTGCCTAGCTGAGCTGAGTGTTTGCAGTCATGCTTTGAGCTGCCCACTCCCCTCTCTCACAGTGGTTCATAGCTTGGAAACCTGTGTGCCAGTTGTGCTTTCCACCCATCACACACTCAACAGACAGGAGACTTGTTTGAATGCCTTCTTCATGGCATGGGTTGAAACTTGTTTTCTCCCCACCCTCTTCCATCTGAGAAGAGGATAAGCTTGGCATCTCCATTTCTGCATCCTTAACTAGCCAATGTAAAACTACAATGAAAGGTATCTGAAAGGAAATAAAACTTAGGTAATGGCAGCTACAGGGAACCAGTAACTGAAAGACTACCTTAATGCTAAGCAATGGTATTCAATATTCATCTTGAGAAAAAATGGACACCTATAAAATTCATGGATAACTCTATGGGAATTCTGAGCATTAGGATTCCAGATTTGATACTAAATCCCATTGAGAAAACTGTACTTATTTTCTGGTGCTGCAAGTGTATGTTTTTCTTTTTCTGTGCAGACCCCAGAACCAACAGGAAGTAATCTAACCCATTTAAAACAACTCTAGACAACTCAGCAAAGTCCAGCTTATCTGTTAAGTTCGAGTGCTTTTAAATACCTGTGAAGTATTTAATTTTCTGCCATTGCTTCTTCTCTCAGTACAAGCATCACAAGGAAGAAGGTGACCCTCATGCTCAGATTGAAGGGAAAGAGACAGATGACTGGCTGTGCATTGATTTTGGTAAATATTTGTGAATCTGACAACTATGAAGTTCTGCATGAGCTCTTTTCTGAAGGAAGCATCTTGCCGTGAACCCTGGTTGCTGTGGAGAGTTCATAATACTCTGCTGTTTTGGAATTCCAGTTGTTGCTTGAACTTATTGATATACTAAATAAATTTTCACTAAAGATCATTGGCACTGAGAAGAAAGCAGTGACTACTCTTCAGTGGCTAAACCGGGTCTTAATAAATTGAAGAGAACAGTAGTGGAAAGAGAAAAGCTACTTCAGTCACTCTGGGTGAGTGGGGGCTCCTTGTATGCTGCCCTAGTAGTGAACCGCTGAACAGACTTTTCAACTGTCCAGATCATACCATGACATGGGGTAAAACCTCAGTCTGAAGGAATTTAGGTTAATTCTTTATTCTACAAGTGTGAAACGCTCTACACAAACATAGAAGACTTTGCATTCAGAAAGCATTTCTCCTTCGCTGCTAGCTCTAGAATCTTGCCCTCTAACTTTGTGGTTTGGCTTAAAAGAGAGCATGGGTGAGTGAGGAGCACTGCAGCCAGTGATGTTAAGCCTTGGTTACTTTACTGTCAGTGATTGTGATAGTTATATCTGAAAACCAATTGAAATTTAAGGGCATAACTAGAAAAAAGTGCATTAGAAGTACACTGGAATTAACATTCTCTACTATTGTTTGCACAGAATTAATGAAAACCTGTAAGAAAAACCTTATTATATTAAAGTTTGGACCTATTTCATTATAAAAACCGCCTGAGAGGTGAGCAACACACCTAAGGAAAATTACTTGGCTGTAGCTGAATGTTGTTGGTAATATAGGAAAGCTGAAAGCCCATCTGTAACCCTAGGGAGAGGCCTCTTTCAAGTAAAATTTCTTTTGACTGACTTCTTTCTGTTCGCTAGAAGTCATTACTACTTCGGTGTGGACTCTTGTGATACTGTTTTAATTTAAACCAGAGTATTGCCCCTCACATTCTCCTGGCTGTAGTCTTGAAGTCTTTTGAAGGCCTAACCAATTCCTAACACTGTTCAAGAACTGGAATCGGCAACTTGAGACCTCCATCAGCTGACCTGTTATATTTAGCCAGAATGGGGGTGGAAGACTTGAACTCTTTGCGCAGCTGCAAGTGTAGCAGTGCTTTACAGTTCATGTTAATTTATTGTGCATTTCTGTTCTGTGCAGGTAGCGTAGTGGTGCATTTCATGCTGCCAGAGGCACGAGAGGTTTATGAATTGGAGAAGCTATGGACTCTTGGTTCCTATGATGACCAGTTAGCGCAGATGATGCCACAGTCACTGCCAGAAGACTTTATATTTGGAATGACTCCTAACGGCAGTGATCATCCTGATACAAGAACTTAATGCAGCTGCTGAGTGGAAAGAGAAATGAGTGTGCCTTCACAGATCTGAGAGCAACATACAGTCTTGATTACTGACTTAACGTTCACTACAGTTGATCGGTACAAAACAGTGTATTTACTAGATGTGCCTAGGTAAAGTTCTGAACAAGCTACAAAAATAATCAGAATCATTAAGGTTGGAAAAGACCCTTAAGATCAGGTCCAACCATACAGTGTCAAAGAAGGAATCCTATCATAAAGGAGCTTCCTGGGGGAGTCACTGTCTCAATGGCATTTGCAGTGAGAAGAGTGGGGCAAAACCAGCTGCTTAAGTTATCCTGAAACTCATGCTCAGCCTCTACATTAATTTTTTTTCTAGTATCTTTGAAAGACCTGCCTGTAGTGGCAGTGCAAAAAAGCCTTGAGTGCTGCAAGGAAAAACTGTGTGTGTGAAATAGTACAGTTTAGATGAGGCTCCTTGTATTAAGCCATTTGCTTCTGGTCATGATGAAGCACGTCATGCTCTAAGTTAAAAGAGGAGAGAAAACACACTGGTGTTACTGAGCACATAAAAGCCAAGAGTACAGCAGTGACAAATAAACGTGTCTTGAGTTAACAGTAAGTTGGTTTTTCAGCCAAGGCCAATCTGGTTTTAATAATGAAAAAAAAATAAAATCCTGAAGCGCTCTGATTCCTTGTCTTCATGGTAAAACATTCAGTTCATTCTAAGTGTGCAGTTGGCTTCTCCTCTAGTTTTTGTCTCACCTTGTTTCTGGAAACTGAGGCAACATGCTATGGCAGTATAAACCTTCAGCTCCTTTGAAGTGAGCAAAAGTAGTTCTAAAGGAAGTCCTTAGTCACTGGGCATTACTTGCTGCTACTGAACTGTTAAGCACTTTCAGAAGTCATTGCGCGGTTTGTTCTTAGTCTGACTGCTGCATGGTCTAATAACCAGTTAGAAGAGCTTCAAGGTGGTAACAAAACTTCTCGTATGTAAAACAAGATGCTTTTCTCTGCTACAGGGCAGGGCTTTCATCACTAGATTAGGATCTCTTCCTTCTGGAGAAGCTTGCTCTGCTGTGCCTCAGGAAGCAGAAACAGTAGATCCTGAGGGTAATGGCCTTTTTCCCTCATAGCCCCACAAACTATTTCAAGGCCTGTCTGCATCTTTTCCCTGCACAGCAGCTGCTGCTTGTAATGCTCAAAGAAAGTGACATTGGTTTTTGTGCCTGTGGGAAGGGGTGTGTGCATTCAGTTGTTTTCAAAAAATGAAACAAAAAGCCTCCCTCCTTTCAGACTGGTCATGTTTTCTTGCTGGGTCTAGCCTCTGTTCTTTCAGGAATAACTGCCCCTGAGTTCACCTGCTCTTTGATACGACACAGCAGAAAGTTCTGCAAATTAAGCAAGGAGCATTTATTAGATGTAGTTAACTATGCAGATAAAACATCTTTGCCCACAAAATAGAGGTATTGATGGTTAAGTCTGACTGCAAAGAAATATTTTCAAAATGCTCTATGGTACTTGTCAGTAAGTAATCCACATGGGGGAAGGATAACCCTGGCTGTCTTGCAGACTGATGGTTTCTAAATCAGGCATTTCCTCCTAGGAGGGATACGTAGGCGTAACTGTGGATCATTCCCTGAAACCATTTGCCTTTTACTGCTGCTGCTGAAGATAAGTAATACTAGATGAATAGAGGCAGGTTCAGCAAACATTATGCCATTATATGAACCCACATTTGGTAACCAGAACCACATACAGTATCCTGTCTCACAGAGCAGAGTAATGAAAGGAACACCCAGAAAAGAACAGTAAGAGATAGGGAACAGCTTTCATGTGAACAGACTAGGACTCTTACAGCTGGAAAGGGTAGTAGTCTGTAAGACAAGACAAAAAAAAAAAAAAAAATCAAATGAACTGAGGAGACAAAATCCAGTAAAATAAATGTAAAAGTATAACTGAAGTAACTGCCAAAGCACATTGTGAGAAGGAGTTATATGGAACATCCACTGGTTGCTATTAAATAATCAGAACTGCCAGCTCAGGAAAAGAACTCATCCCCCATTTAACAGAAGCAATCATAATCTGCCCTGCTACTGCAATGCCCCAGCCAGGTTACCTGCCTGACTTGGTGAGCCAGTGGCCTGACCCTCCTAAAAGCTGGGACCTAGGAATTAACAAAGGCAGTCTGGATGATCAGTACTGTGCAACATTAAACCCCTTGTGGAAGGAGGACATTTGGGAATGGTTTCAGCTCTGTAGATCAGGTGATTTCTGTGTAAAATAAAAATACTGAGCAGGTTTTGGTCCTCCTGTACAGAGGTACGTGCAGATTTGTGTCTGTGCAGGATCCCTTGATGACGGGATGAACAGGAGAAACAATTATCAAGGTGGAACTTTTGTCATCGTTTCACTAGTTTCCTGCACTGCATTTGAGTAACTGTTACAAAGCTGTGTTTGCATCCATTAGTTGAGCTAACATCTCTGTTACAGCCCCTCTTGAGTGCTTACACCACAATTTCCCATTTTCGTTTAAAAATCCTATGCCCTAGTACCATGTTGAGACCATGCTGTCCTGCACACCATACACGCTTCATTTAATGGAAACTAATACAAAGAGCGCATGCCTTTGAAATTGCAGCTTAGGAATTAAAGCTTTGGAAGGTTGGAAGCAAATAAAAGCATCATGATTAAGCAAATGCTTAAAACAATCGGGTTTAGCTGTCACAAATGCACCAGCAATACAGAGGAAGGCTTAACTTCTTGTGTTGCTCAAATGGCAGGGATGCTGGTTCTGAGAAAATAGCTCAATATTGGCATGGAAAAATGACCTTACAGTTCCCTGTGAAATGCAATACCCTACGCAGTGTCTTCTACAGACATCGCTTCTTCCAATTCCCTCTTTCTGCAGGTTGGTCCCAGTAAATGAGCTGTCAAGACAAGTGGGAGGGTGCAAAAGTTTGGAAAACAAGTTTGGTTTTCCACTCCTCTTTAAAAGATACAGAATTGCACTACTCACAACAGTCCTTCATTCCCCAACCCCTCCCTCTCACTCTAAAGCATTCAGTTAAACATCTAGTCTCATTTCTATTCCAAATAATGTTAACAAGGATCTAAATGGAGAGGCAACACCACCTCACTGGCAAGTGGTGTGTGTTTAGGTTGTGGTGGTAGGAGTGAGATACAAGTTGCTGTTGCTTGCTAGCATGATTGATTCTGCCTATCCAAGCTTCTAGGGCCAGGTTCATTACACAGCTTCATCATGCTGAGAGCACCAAAGTAAAGACACAGTAAAAAGCAGCCAAAAAAAAAAAATTAAAAAGTTAACTGCAATTCAGATCTCACTCCAAACCTTTTAAAGGTCAGGACTGTTGAGTACACATCCCTTCCACAGCAAATCAGCCTAAGTGACCTGCATAAGACTGAAACCATGAATTATAGGTTGTACTACAGCCTGTATAGCATTGTTATATGAGAGGGAGAAGATGAATTATAAGCCACAGAAATCACTGTATTGGGAAGTGCAAACATTGTAAGCTGGCTTCTGGGTGCGCTAGCAGCTATGGAATACTTGTGGGTGACTGTTCATCCTTACCCAGTTATTATTATGGACAGAAAACGAACTTGATCAAAGTACCACAAATACTTAGAACAGTCTGTCCCTATGCCTCTAATTTAAAAAAACACCACACAACTTTATCTGATGATAGGAGTTAAACTCTTTATTCCATTCAGAGGCATCTGGCAAGTGGAGCTGCATTGGGGGGCACATTACAGATGAAAAATGATCCATACTTTGTGGATATTGAAATCATTTACAGTATTTACTTTCTAGCTATTCCCAAATACTCCAAATTACCGAGTCTCAATTGAAAAGAAAAACATGATTTACCATGCTAAGTCTAGAAATTTAAGAGATGACAGTATTTAAATCAGCAGATGTAAATGCAGCACCTATTTGTAAAGTAATTTTTATGGAAAATAATGAAGTCAAATCCTTCTCAAATGTTAAGAAAGGAATGTCAGACTGACTTAAGCCTCAAAAAAATTAAAATGCTATGACTTTTCATACTTCAGTAATTTTAAATTCATTGTAAGAAAAAAAATTATCCTAAAGGCTAGATGAAGGTCACTGTCAAAAAAAGGAAAAGAAACTCATTTTTCTTTGCTAAAACTACAACATAAGTTTGTGGTTTTTAAACCAATTAGTAAAGAAGAGATGCAGGAAAAACACTTCAGACCATTTTCAAAATTATCTAATCTGTACAACAATGATCTTTGGGAAAATTATCTAGTCTATGTAGTAATGCCTCTATTTCAACATGAACCTAAGAGGTAGATAACAAAATGATGAAACAAATGTTTTTGCTCGTTGTGCCCCTCAAATCAGTGCAGCATGGTGATTCTGATCATCTCATGCACAAAAAACATCACAAAAAAAGGTTCAGAGGTAATAGCATGGCTCTGTCGACCACACACATACAGGCGCGCACGCGCACACACACACACACAGCAGTCTTTATGCACCATGTGTTGCCACATTTTTTTTTTCTTAAACTGAGGTAGACTGAAGTTTATTGTAGAAACTTGAATGTGTCACTATTACCACAATCATCATTCAAATTACATTCGGAAATTAAAAAATTTGGTAACTTTCCTGTTATCCCTGCCTTTTGACATTTTTTTTTTCTTCTCTAATGGTTGGTTGCAGAACGTGCATAAATCCTGCTGCATCTATTATAAGCCAGGCTAGAGAGGTTGTTGTTTTGTGGTTTTGTTTTTTTTTTTTTCCTAGTAATTGTTCTTAAAACCTTCAAAAGTGGCTTAGTGTGGCCCATAACAGCGGCTGGATACGTAAACTTAGCCTTTCATTATCTTTCAATGTGATCAAACACTGTTTGACCTTCCCCCATCGTGGTAACTGAAAGCAGTATGATATGATCTGCAGACAGCAGAGACCCTCGTGGCCTCAAATATGCTCTGGCAGATCAAGTGTTCTATCAAACTGAAGATGAAGCTTGCTCTTTGAACAAAATGGCAAAGTCCAAATGGGCTGCAAATGGTTAAATGTAGCATTATTAGGTAGTGATGGTCAAAGGCACAAAGGGTTCATGCATTCAATCAAGTAGCACAAAAAAAAAATTCAGCCTCTTGCAGCCTTCTAAATTTTTCCCCCAACCCCAGCCTCTTGCCATCACTTCCTTGTCCTGTTCCCAAAAAAGTACCGTCACAAACTTTTTCATCCCATCTTAAAAGAAAACTAAACGGCATTGCTGCTATCAGAATGTTGGCATCATTCACTATCTTTTGAACATTCACTGAATTTTTTTTTTTTTTTTTTAAACAAATGATGGTGTTGAAACCCTCAGAAAATCTGAGGCTATGTTTTTTTTACCCACCTTACTCCCATCAGCCAGCAGCTAGAAGTGCTCTACTATATTTTTCCCCGGTAAGTCTGTAGTACTCCTGGCTGGTGGCTGATCAAATTTTAATTTTTTTTAAAAAAATAAAATGCTCAAGAACTATTAGCTTTATAAAGTATACAAAATACCAAAAAAAAAAAAAAGCAAAAAAGGAACAATTTCTCATTGAGGTACTAAATGCCTGAGGTAGTTTAGTAAAATGCATATTTATCTTTTTATGCCCTGGCCAACACCATTCAACACTTCCCTTAGGTTATTCATGGCAGTGTTATGTAAAAATGCAACCAAATTCTTTTTAAAAAATGCCACTTGTTTCAACATTGGGACTAACACTTAAACTCTGGTCAATACCCTTGCTCTAACCCTAGCCCACCCGCAATCCCACCCTCCAAATGTGTTTCTTCTTTTACAACTGGACCTATAAGAGCAATGCCTTTTCTTTTTTTTTTTTTTTTTTTTTTTTTTTTTTTTTTTTTTTTTTAACCAGTGAACTCAGAAGAGAAAGCTTCATTAAACCAAGTTCTAAAATTGTTGGGGAATAATAAGAACAATAAAAAAGACTAACGAGTTTATGTTAAATTGTGAGAATAGAACAAAAGGGAAGTGAAGGGGTCCTTATTTTAAAGCTGGGTTTCAAAAGTTTGAGAGAGCCTAAAGAATACATTCTCAGAGACAGCGTTCAACGGTTGCCTGGTCCTCAAACAGGTGATTGGCTTGGTGGATCTTCTGCATATAACTTCAACAGGTGCTCACCACCCGTCTCTCTGTCGCACAGTCTGTCTTTGGTCTGGCATCTGTCTCTGATGGGCCATT